CCCCCCCCCCCCCCCCCCCCCCACCCCTGTCCGGGTACATGTACCCGCGTGGGCCCAAAGCAGTACCTAACTACCTCACATAGCACTTGTCGTCTCGACTTAGACGCAACGAAAGATTAACTGCTATCATTGCGAGGTTAGTTAATTATATGGCCGTGTTCCTAAAGTAGTAAGCCGATGAACCAAGATATATATTAATCTTGCGCATACATGATGAGTAAAATTTAGCTTACATGTTTCAGCAAACAGCGATAGACTCTTGAATGCAACAAAACAAAAAGAAACAAATTTCAACATAATTGCAGCCTCCACTGGACATCTTGTTGAAGAGATGTTTGACAGATGAAAGCTTGTTTTGGTCCATGAAGCTGTACCCGTAACATCTCTTGTCGTTATCGCTTATCGCTTATCCAAAGACCATCAAAATGTCGCTTACGTCATTTTTGCCTACATCCACGGGTGGACCTAGGGCCAATAATGAACCACCACAATGGTAGTAAATATCCTCCACCACCTTGATTATTACGCCCCGGGAACATCAGGTTCTTGCCCTATGTTATCATGACTGAGCCAAGCACCAAAATACGCAAGGGCAGACAACGGCGACCCCGTGTACCTGACTCGTTGCGAAAGAGGGCGGCACAAGCGTAAGGACACACAATCGAGACCAAGTTCCAATAGGGCTAACTGTCTGCGGCTCAGATGCTTGCCTTGTCGCCAACATAAAGAAAAATGTACTTTTTCACCCATTATGTCGTCACAGCTTGGGCCTGTAGCCACCTTTAACACCAACTGACTGATCCAACTGAAAAGGCGGAGGTGGCAATCCTTGTGCTCGGTGCCAACAGCATCAAAGGACATGCCGTTTTGAGAGTGGTAATCACAGAAAAATACCAGTAGTCCGGAATGACGAATCAGGGTGAGCCGCTTTCAAGAATCTTGCTGCATCTGGAATCAATAACTCATCCTTTTGAAAGTGCCAGAGAGCCGTTAGAACAGCACGCCAACGAATTTCAAATGAAACGAATTATCACTCACTTGCTGGGTGACGTCTCTTTCGAGACTAGCAACCTGCAGAAAATTGCAGACACCCTAGATCAGGGTCAGGGACAGGAGCAGTCGGATAGTGATTCAGTTGATTCAAACGAGTCTACCCCGACAAATGACTACTCTATTGATCCTCTTTCAACTAGCACAATGCGTATGTCGATATCCTGAGTTTGGCTTTTACCTAGTTGACATGACTCCAAAGATTATTCGGGGGAGTTGTCTCATTGGAACTTCTCCAGAATGCTCGGACGGCGACTACAAAGTCTTGGGGAAAAGAGAGAGCAAAGCAAGGTACGCCCAGTGAGCTCTACCGTTAACTTACCAATAAGGACCTCGATGAAATTTGTAATGTCCGTTGCTAATAAAGGAAATTCAGAATCTTGACCAGACCGAAGGTTTCTTTCGAGCTACTGCTCTGCAGTCATCTGGCTCTTGTGTCGCCCTTGCTAAAACATATCTCCCCCCAAAACATATCGCAGAATTCCTGACAACCGCTTTTTTGAAATTCAGTCAAACTAATTATTTTTACTTTCATGAAGCTACTTTCCGCGAGAAGTTGGACTTCTACTATGCCACTGAGCACCCTCTATCGATCAATGACGCTGGCTGGATATGCACTCTTCTCATGACTTTCGCAATCGGCACACAGTTTGCGCATATGCAGACTAAATCGATACCTGGTAGTAGTGTCTCTACTACTGAAACTAGTCCTGATGACCAAATAGGGTTGGAGCTCTATCGGTTTTCTTGTCGACTCATTCCGGATCTTATCACGGTTGCAAGTGTGGAGACTGTCCAGGCCTTCTTACTTCTGGGTGTGTATACCTTGCCAATCGACACAGCAGGCTTGGCGTACATTTACTATGGCCTCGCAATTAAGATGGCAATTCAAAACGGCATGCACCGCAAGCTGTTTGAAGGCAATGTTGCCCCAAATATGGTTGAGGTGCGAAATCGCCTTTGGTGGTCTGCATATTCGCTGGAAAGGTAGGAATGCTCTAAATAGCCCAAAATCTCCAAATACGAAGTGCAACCCGTTCTAACTGCCCGGAAAGTCGCATCGGTATTCTACATGGCCGTCCTGTATCTGTGTCTCCGATCGAAATCGATACCCCCATGCCTGTCGATCTTCCGGCTCTACGACCAACTGACCAATTGACCAACCTACCCAACTTCACTGCTACGATCGTCTTGACAAATTATTTGGCAAAGGCTGCGGAAGCGATGAGGTCCCTGCGGCGTTGCCAGAGGGCCAGAAAGAAAAGATATCTTCGGCAACTTGCTACAACCCGCGATCGACTAAGCTCATGGTGGGAGGGTCTTCCCACTGAGACCCACTGCCGACATCTCGCTCCTGCCGGAGCATACTTTCGTTGCAATGTGCACCTTGAAATTTATTACAGGACAACTTTGATCTATATGGGCCGTCCTTTCATCATATCTCAAGCCACATCTGGGTCATTCAACCTGGACTCGGATTCAACCGTTCACGAAGTCCCGGATATTGTGAACACTCTTCGACAAGACTCACTTCATGCGGCACTTAGAGTGATCGAGCTTTGTCAGCTTTTACAAGATTCCGTCGGCCTCGCACGCGTCTCATACACCGAATTCAATGGGTGTCGCGTTGCTTTATTGGCGCTCATTGCCCATAGCATCAACGAACCAACAACCAGGATCTCCAGTGTCTTGACTCAAGGCATGGGGCTTATCCGTCAGATTTGTCCCGGGCTAGAATCTGCGCGATCTGAAGTGGCTGTCATCGAAGCGCTTGAGCGGGCAAGGCAACGGCTGTATAGTCATACCGTGGCAGAGCAGAGCAGCGTGACAGATCATACAACGGGCTATGATCAATTTAAAGAATGGGCAAAACTTTGGAGAGGTGATCCGCTTGATAATAGCGATGTCCCCGTCTCGACAAATTTGGACATGCCGTCTGAACAGCGCTCTCCTAACTCTGTTCCTTCTTTTGATGGATTTTTCTCGTCTTTCCCTGATGAGCTGGTTGAATTTGCCGCCATCCCTGGGCTAGACTACGATTTGGCACTAGCCCAGGATTGGTTGGGTGACCCTCAACCTGAGGGTTCCGATTGGGTCATAAATCAACCACTCTAATGGTAGAGTGCTCCAATACAAGGAGCCGTTTTTGAAGGCAAATAGATAGATCTTCGGATATTTGTCCTTCTACCTTGATGGCATTGTAGTTGTCGTCAGGATCGAGTTTCACTAGGCGTTCTTTCCCGCCTTTCTTTTCGCCTCCCTTTCTCTTAGCCATCAACCTGGTCTGGGAGATTTTAGTCAAATCTTTGATCTAGTTGAGATATAATTAACCAACTGACAGAGTGGTGATGTCGCCAAGGAATAGGGTGGTATTAAGAATAAAGCAGATGAGGGTGTCGCCTATAGTGTTCAACCAAAGTGTAAGAGTGTGCAGTGCAGCGATCACGATCAGCGCTCTCGCTGGACCAGATGGCAGATTAGTATTGGGGTTCACATGGCAGGAAGGAATTTCCGAGGCCAATTTGGTTGAGCGAATCAAAGGATATGTAGAGGGCCTCGTAGAACGGCTTACATGCCAACAGACGAGCCAGAATGAGATAACGAATACACCCACACTGCTAGCAGTATGCCTAGTAACGCAAAGAAATGAGGATGAGCAGCATGCTGAAATAGTATCCACGCAATAATGAAGAAGGCCGTGCGGGCCTGTTTGTGTTCGTGGTCACAATAGACATTGTTGACCTTCAGTACAGAATGTTCTTCGGTCATTAATAATGCGATCACTGCACCTGGCTCTCTTGGCTCTGTTGGCTCTGTTGGCTCTGTTGTGATATGATATCCAATCAAAAACACGTGATACTAAAATCACTAGGCTGCCAATTTCTGCCAGAAAATTTAGTCCCCGGTCGGAATAAGACCACTTCGTCGTGTGGAATGATCTTCTCCATGTTAATTTAGTGTTAGCACCCAAGCGCAAGGCCAAGAGGTCACCATGCCGAGTCGAAGACCTCACCAGAAATCGCGCAATGGCTGCACCGAATGCAAGAGACGCAGAGTGAAGGTATTCAACCCTGACCCCAGGTTGTTTCAAGCTTACTAATATCTTGTTGTAGTGTAATGAGCAACAACCTTGTCACAATTGCCTCAAGTATCACAGTGACTGTATCTATTGGACGAACCAAAAAAAGCAACAACGGAGCCTGGTTTGCCCAAAGGTATCAATGCCCGAGGTAGACCAAACCGATTCTACTCCAGTGATTGGCGCGATGAAATCACTTACAGGGCCATTCCTACATAGTTTAGTTAGGACAGCCGACTTTGAAGCTCGAGACCTGGAGCTGATGCATCACTTCAGCACGTCAGTTGCCAAGACACTCTCATATCGTAACGATATCCAGGATGCTTGGGCTATCGCGCTTCCCAAGGAGGCTTATTCATGTGACTACCTTATGCATGGCTTGCTCGCACTTTCAGCTTTACATTTGGATTCGCTGAACGATGAGAAAGGGCATGATTACGCTAGCTTATCTACATATCATCTGCAAACATCCCTTGCTCGCTTCAGGGAGAAGCTCACCAACATATCAATAGAGGACTGTGTCCCCTTGTTTGGCCTTTCATCCCTTATGGTTATCCATGTTTGCGCGAAATCTGCTATGGAAAGGCGCTCACCACCTACCCAAAAAAGCTCAACGTCACATATTGAAATGCTGATAGAAATTTTCAACATGTGCCGGGGGGTAGAAAGCATCCTCGCTCCATATCGTGTTGAGATCCATCAAAGTCCTTTGAAATCCTTGCTACACGAGG